CAACAACAGACGCCTTAATGTTTACCTTAACTACCTAAGTACAGTTAAAGGGTTGCTTCAGATCGTGCTCAAAATCTACATCCAAGGAATATTTCAAAGCAACTAAAAGCACCATCTGCTGTGAGATCCATTGTACAACATCATTCACAAGCATTCACTCCACAGGTGACTTTTACAGTGAAAAGCTGGCCTTTTCCAGTCACTGAGGACACACAAACAGCATTCCTGGTGTCAGTTTATCCCAGCCGTGTGGCAGCCCAGCCAGCTCTCCACTGCCCATCTCCACCTTGTAGGCTACAGTGTGTTCTTTCATGGGCAGGCCTTGCCTTTGTTCCCTGTAATGCTGCTGTTCACAGATTAGCCCATGGCAGTGGGTCCCACAGACCTGACTCCCTATTGGGTTTGGCCTGGGCATCTGTACACACCATTTGTATGGAAAGAAGCATGTTGTGGGATGGTAAAGTCATTAACCAACCAAATTTCAAAGATCAGCAGCAAATGTTATACCACCTTAAGTCAAGAAATGGAAAATATTTCCCCAGAGAAAGTGCCAGGCAGCTTCACCAGAGGTAGCAACACTTTCTGCAATAAGAGAAATTCCACTTTCACAACTGACTTCGCTGAGACTGCAGAAGGTGTAAATCAGTGCAGAGTTTGGACCTGTCTGTTTATAAACAACTGTGGATGTAAGCAAGCACTCAGATGACATGGGGTTGCTGGCAAAAAGCTGAGCTGCATTTCTTGCTGAGGCTCCTCAGCCCCAGGTTAGGAGTGCAAAGCATGCTTCCCAAGGGTAGTATATATGGCTGCTGCTTCACCTAATCCCTGGAATGCCACATGATAAGGCAGAATTTGCCAGATATTGGGAAAGGCTACCAAAAGCAGTGAAGCACAGCTGACAGTGTCTGAAGTGAAAACAAACTTTCCCAAATACGAAAGAATTGTGCAACACTCCTTTTTCATACAGAGTCCGAAGTATCACTGGAAGTTCTGATAAATACAAAACCAAACTTTATCTGAAGTGGAAGTGATACCCAACATATGACCAAGGCAGGTAGGATAGAATGCACACTGAAGGCCCAACTAGAATATAGTTACCCTTATTTCACACTGATTGTTTCATTTCTCCATTCATAATGCAGGTAGAATCACACATGGTAAATAAAACTGGGAGAAAAATGAAGTGAGAAAGTCTGAGCTCTGCAGAGGTGTTAAGGGTGATTTGCTAAGAAAGAAAAAAGTGAGAAGAGGCACGTCCTTTGCTCATGCTCTCTTCTATGTCATCTGCATAACAAGACTTGCAGAAAGCACCCAAGTTCCTCTAACCTTTTTTACTTTCTCTGTAAATATTCTTCTGGTATAATATGGAAACTTGTTCCAGCAACCTTTAAAGCTCAGGCTTTGTTCAGGACAGAAGTGGGGAGCTGAGAGTGCACAGCACTGTTTCTGAGGAGATTCAAACTCAGCAGGATTCAGTTTTTCTACTTTTGGTTGGGGGAAGCAGGAAAGGAGAGGAGAAGGAAAGGGACTCTTAGAAGACTATTTTGCTATTTCCTGTTAAAACTTGACTATGTGGGAAGTTCAAATGAGTATGAAAGGAAATCTAAAGAGAGGTAATGCATTCCTCACTGTAACTAATCCTTGAAGGCCAGGCTTACATGACATTTCAGTAGGAAAATTACAAAAAGTAATTTTCAGTTGGTTGGGTAATGAAAGAAATAAAAATTATCTAAAGCTACTGGGAAAACATAATGGTGTACGGGTAAGTAGTTAGATAGACTCAGTTCATGGAGATGAGAACTACTGAATCAAGTTTCTGGAATGGCCATTACAGAATTTGTAGTAGTTAATATCACCATGTAAATCCCAACCTTTCCTCATACTTCCCAGGGGAAACCACAAATACTTTTCATCTGGCTTGTATTTAGGAAGACAGTTTTGGAAACAGGAAAAAGAAAAATCAGCTGAAGATGTAGGAGGCACTGAGGCTAGCTGATGCTCTAGTCTACCAGAATAGGGTCCCCCACCTTTAATTTTAATATTGGACTGTCTCTTCTCTCACTGCTTTTTATATGTTATGTTCCAGTAGTGACAAACGGTAACTGAACTGACGGTGTTACTTACTTGAAATTAAAACAACTGTTTAATGCTCTTAAGATTCAGAATTCTGCAGCTTTGCAAACTACAGTGGATGAATTGGCTGCTATGAAGCTCAATCCTGATTGCAGCTGCTCTCTTTGGTCTGCCTTTTCTGCTCATATGCTCATGATATGTTACATCTAATAGAGAGCCAGTCAGAACACATTGTTGGTGTTTGAAGAGGTCCACGGAAAAGAAGGACCACCTCAAAGAGATATCCTGCAGGAAGAACAATGCCAATGGTGGGTGAATAGCTGTGCAGTCTTAATGAACAGGTTTGGGCAGAAGGAAGACAGGGAAGACTACAAATCACGCTTCTCAGTAAGTGTTCACAGCTCAGGGCTATGTGCCACAGCGCACAGGGCAAAGTGCTCTGCCCACAGTGCGGGTCACAGGTAAATGGGACACATAAGGAGCTGTGAATCACAGGTCCTGTACATAGTCATTAAATAGTTGGGTAGAAGTATGTCAAACAATGAGGTGATGTAATGGGCAAACACTTGTCATAAACATAGAGAATCCTGACCTCATTTCACATGTGATTTCATCTTAGGTGACCTCACAAGTGCAGTTACTCTACCACCTTCACAGCCTTGTATGTTTTATGTGCTTCTTTTACCCTCTAGATCCTGAAGAAATTAGTTAATTTGTTATTTTTCACAATCAGTCCCAGATGGATGATGTCTGTCAGCATTTCCTGAGTTACATAACATTTATCATTTTCAAACCACCCTGTGCCCTAGAGCATTAATACTTCTCTTTTACCAAGTTTCCAATTATTATGGGAAGTCAAAGTAATCCTCACAGTAGCTAAGGTAACAGCAGAACTCAGTACCATCCAATTTTTTAACTGCTCTTTACTTCTCTAGCACATCACACTTTCCTAATGCAAACACACCTACCACACTGCCCTCCAGTAATTCTTTTTTTCTTTCTTATTTACATATAAAAATCCTCTACCCAGCTCCTTTAGTTCTTGCAGCCTTTTGGTCTCTGGTGTAGTTAGAACCAAGCTCCCAACTTGTCCACAAGTGAGTACAACCTTTGTGCCTTAAGATATTTTATCCCAAATGTCTGTCAGGTACAATCAATAGTTTAAAAAGTCATCTTTTTAGCTTACTCACTTAGTATGTGGTCACAGAGTCATCTAATTCCTTGTGGATACAAAACTGAGGTTCACTGAAAATTGGGCCCCAGCTGAGCTTTGGTGAATTTTTAATGTCAGCAATTCAATGGCTTGTAAAATTAGAGGTATTTCAGAACTGACAGCAGTAACTCTTGGAAAGAACTGAAACTCAAAGCGGCTGCGTTCTTAGCTGCAGTAGAGCATTCAGCAGTGTTAAACTCCTTCCAAGCACATACAAAGGGAAGTAGTTTGATTTATTAATAATAATGACCTTACATACATAGTTATAGGCAGGTGAAGGCTTTTGAGTCAGTTTTACATTCTAACTGCCGAAGGCAAGCAAAGAAGAAATGTTGGGTAGTAGTTAAGACAAAATTAGAAGCCTGTAAGCCCTTCCTTGGGCAGTGTTTCTTCATCTAATCCTGTCCATGCTAGCAAAGAGTAGTGGTACATGGCTGAACACTGCTAGCACACCACCATCTGCCAGCCCCTCAGCACATAAAGGCTCCATATGACCTCCAATCATTTGAGTCTTAACACTTGCCAAAAAAATCACCTGAACAAAAACAGAACATGAACTTCTGATTATGACATTCTCTTTCCCTACCTTCCTTTTTGAAATCTTTTCCCTCTACTGGCATAGGTGACCCCAGACCTGATGTTCTTAAGGATAAACCTCCCGAACATTCAGTGTTGCAATTCCTGATTTACGGGTTTGCTTTCATGTTAGAGGCAATGGGTAATGCATGAGAAAAGCCATGAGGTACCTGAGAATAATATTCACCACAGTTAAGTTACAGATGCCTAGAAGTACCCGAAAGAAAAATCCTTAGGAAAGCATTAGAGGTCTGCTCTCCGACAACATAAAGGAACTGTATTTGCCATAACAGGAGGCATTCTTCTCTTGCAATTCAGACCCTAGCTTTCTTTGCTGAGGGTGTGTGTGTCTGCTCTTGCTTTTCTACCTGGCAGCTGGCCCCTGTGCTTTACAGCAATGGGAGGAAGAAAGCAACATTGCCATTCACTGTCCTTCCTTGGTAGCAAAGTAGATAAGCCTTGGTCCACTAAGGACTGAAGGAAACTGAAGCTTAATGTCCTTTTCCACCTGAGATAATATGTTTCTCCAAGCCCTACAGAGAAAGCACTGTCTAGCAGGAAGCAGGTCTGTTGCCTCTCCTTCAGAGGTTCTCCTTCAGAGTTATTAACAGCATTTTACTATGCTCCTTGCAGAAGAAAGCAGCGAGAGAGTTCCAACTTTTCTGTGCAAGCCATTAGTGGATGTAGTACACCAAACTGGGAACTTTCCACAAGAGCAGCAGCCTGGCCACCAGTATATCTTCTCAAACAAGTAAGGGAACTTCATCAATCTTATGGCCTCGGTGTAGCCGGGGCAAAATTTAATTGTTGGCTACATCTGGACTGGTATTAGGTATTGTGGTATCTATCTCTGCGTTGTAACTCCTGCTCACTCTGTTCCCTTCTGCAATAAAAGAATTAAAGGTTGAAAATGGGACAGAGGGAATAGGAAATCTATAGCTGGTTGGGAGGGCAAACTCCTCAAATGAGCCTTCATTGGCTTTATATTGTTTACTCATGCCTGCTCTTTCTGACCAAAAAAGTATAGCAAAAGTGAAGAAAATAAACTTGCATGGGATAAAGTTGTTCTACTAATACATCAATATTAACATCCTACATGTATAAAACATTGTCCATACCTTTTTGTCCCTTTTTCTTTTTTTTTGCTCTGACTGTTGTCCAACCTTTAGGTGTCTCATGAATTCAGGCCAGTGGAAAACTCTGGAAAATAAGTAAAAACTCTTTGTTTGAGACATGGGTTTGTTCTGCTGCCCAGGTTTGAAGAGGGTGAGATATTTACCTACATGTGATTTCAGCACTGGCTCAGACACACAAGCCAGTTACAGTGGCTTAGCAAGGCAATGCATATAAGCTGAACTATGGCTGCTCAGTTAAGTCAGAGCTCTTCATGGCATTTATGTGAATCTTACATACAGAATACGAATTAGGCATCCAGGCTGCCGCACTGGGAAGGGACTTTTACTCCGGCCTTTTTTTAAGATAGTTTTTAATCTCTAAAACCATGAAAGGAGCCATTACGGTGTGGCTAAAGAATGCCTAGGTGACACTTGTATTTCTTCTATTGACAGCTGACGGCTTATGTTATTGGTGAGGAGAGCTAAACTATTAAAAACCTAATTTGTGTCTCTTTCTTCACTGTGTGACTCAAACCAGTTTTGCAATCTGTTACAGGTTAACTAGCCAGGGTTAGGCAGGGTGGGGCCTGTAGCACATTGCAAAACTGTTTTCTTCAATTCACAAAGTGAGAAAACATCCTTAAAAATAGGCATTCTAGAAGACCAGATACCTTACTGTCAATTACGGCACATCATGCAACAAAACAGATTTTCAGGCCCCTCAGCTTTTGCTGCTGTATTGAGTGAGACACTGCATGCAAGTCACGTGCAAGCAGAGGCCACCCAGCATTGTGCTGCAGCTGAAGAGCATGCCTTTCTTTCAGCTTCAGGCTACGCTCAGAGGCGTACCCTCACCTGCAGCCGGCTCTCCTCTTGTCCATAGCTCTGTGTGCCAAACGCAGCTGGTTAATAGATCACAGATCAGACCGACCAGCTGCTCCCAGCATATGGGGTCACAGAGGAGGGGAAGCTGCAGAGCTGCTCTGCAAATGTGTGAGATGCAGGTCTGGAGCTGTCTGCAGATCAACAGGTGATTTTGAGTAGAGAAAGAAATGGAAGAGAGCTGTACTGTTTTCAGCAGGAGAGAGGGAATGCAATCTGTTGGCTCCTGAAGAGTTTTGCTCTTTTTGAGTGGGTAGGCAGACATGCAGATAGTGAGTTGCAGGCTTACCTTGTGGGATACCTTGTACAGCTTCATCTGGACATGGGATGTACCACATAAGGTGATGACATAGGTGTGTCTGAAAGCTCTTCTTCAATGTTAAACTGAGGAAGATGGAATACAGAAAGCACGGGGGAAAAAAAAATAAATTACATCAAAAGTCTCTTGTATATGTGTTAAAATATGACAGATGGTTTCAGAATCTTGCACCTTCTCTTCTTATCAATGCAGTTCCTTTTATTGCTTCCAGACGTTCAAATTTTGGCACTGTATCACAGTATCAGAGAAGACATGAAGTGTATGATCAACTTTCCTGTATGCAGCCAATACCATCATTGTCCTAGGGAGTTTTCCTAGTCTACAGCCATAGAAAGATCATCAGAAACAGAGAGCCTCGCTTTCACTTACATTAGTGGGCCTTTCATATTGCTCCAGCAATATAAAAAAGTCCTAAAGTTTAAGTTAAACTTAATATGAAACTTTAGCAATCCTTTACATTGTCATGGGAGTGAAAATTTGTCCCTGCTATAAACATAACACAGCCATTTTCTGAATCGCTGTTATGTTGCATTATAACAGTGCGACACCAGAACAGATCAACTGGGGAGCCAGAGGAGCTTCCTTCACAGAAGGTTTTTGAAAGTTAGGATCTGCATGTGCCAGCATGGTCTGGGAGTATTTGCTCCTGCCTCAGTGCAGGGACAGACTGAGTAATTTTCTGAAATCCTTTGCAGTTCTGCAGTTCTGAAGGTTTATGTTTTCTAAAGAGAGAAATCCTCTGCGTGTCAGTCAGTGCGCTCTGGTCCTATCCCCAGAATGTTACTCCATATTTTTGCAAAGGCTATCAGTTTACTCACCGTAGCAGTGAAAATTAAAAACTACATTCCTGAAATTGGCCTGTTTCCTAACAACATACCAAAGAAAAACAAACAGAAAAGGTATTACACATAACTTAGTTAATATTGCTTCTTTTGTATTTGCTGCAGCGTAAACATATATTCCCTTCTTGCTCCCCCAGACTGCCCATTCCAGCTGAATTGTGAACTGTGATTCTAAGGACACCCAACTTTCGTGCTTTTAAAAATGTAATTAAAAAAATCCCCCTTATATCTACAAATTCCCCCAAAATTTTTCTTTTTTTTCTTTTTTTTTGTTTTTAACTCAAAAGATGTCAGTTTTAAAATGACACTGTTGCCTTTGTTTCTGAGCACAGTAGCCCCTATCTATTTCATGTCTCTATTTGTTTCACAGCAACAACTCTTGGGAAGGGACCTTCACGATGCCCCTCAGTGAAACTCCAGATTTAACAGCTTTACCATGTAGAACCAAAATTAGCATTCATGTCCAGTGTTCATCTACAATTCTCCTATCCCTTCTCTGTGGAAGTGGCCAGTTCCAAACCAAAGCTGTTCGAATTTTCTCACACTGCCCCATAGGAGAGGCATGGGAATGCCCTTGTTGCTGCCTATAGGACAGCAGAGAGAGAGCCAGGTAAGCAATCCGGCTTAGGTAACGTGTCACTTTGCTGTCACAGTACAAAGCTGCTTCACAGAGTAAGTAGCCTACATGGGGGTTTGGGTTGCTGTGGCTGGGTTACCTGTGGTACTCTAACAAGCTCTGTCACCCCTGCAATACCAGGTACCTCTACAGTGCCAGTGTAGCCCTGTTCCTAAGTTTCAATGATGAAAAAGAAACTTCAGTTTGCATATGTGTTATTGTGCCTTTGGTAGTGTCACGTTCATGCTAGAGACAACAGTCCCAAAGGAATTGGGCTAAAGCTAGCATTTCCCTTCCTTGGAGTCAATGAAGCAGTCCTCAGTCACAGCTGCGGTCTGGGTGACTGGAGTAATGAGGTTCCGTAGTCCGTAATTTCACACTGAGTACTTCCTCCCTCAGGAGTAACGCAGCCAGTTTATTGAAATCACACACAAATAGGTCTTAGTGCACTTCGTTGCGGCTGATACTAGAAAAACCTCAGATGGCCTAATTGCGAAATATGCTGGTGGAACCTGCGGAAACATGGCCTTTATTCCTGGCCTTTTGACCAGTGGAAGGACTGACTTCAAACAAATCTTTTAACCCCTTTGTGTTTCAGATCCTCTCAGCTGTAAAGTAGCACCCTCTGTGCTACTGCCATGTGATGTTGTGGGCTGAGCATACACTGGGCAAGCCTCTCCTACTGCTGACCTCCAACATGCGTTCCCTGGATAACTGAAGAGCTTCAGCTCCAATGGCAGCCACCCCAAGACCTCTACCGGCACTCTATTCACTACAGAAATATGTCTTTTTATTGTTGTTATGATTGCAGTTAGTTGACAGAAACCCCATAAAACCTGATGCTGTAAAAAAGTAATAAAAACATTTAATGTTACAAAAAAAGTTACTTTGATACTAAGCCCCAAGTTGGCATGATTAAGAGTGTAACATCACCCACAGCAAAACTACTAATGCTCTTTACACTCATCGAGAGGCTTAGGTCACTCTGGCCAGATCCTATGGGTCCCTACATACCCTCACCATACACCTTCCAGTAGAAATCACCAGCAGACCCTTCTTCCACTCTCAACTGAAGCTACTTCAGTAGGTTTTAAAGTGTCTCTGGACTGCGCTGCTCAACTCCAGTTCAGAAATTGCACTTGATCAGGCAAAAGACACTTGACCCTCTGATGCGACTTCATGCCCTGGATCACAAGAAAGCCTAGCAGTGACATGGCTGTGCCCACCCTCTGCACATGTAATGGCCATATCTGATCATTTGGTGTAAACCTTTTTTGTAAGCTGAGATCATAATCTTTAAACTGCTCCTCTGCAAGCCAGTCATTAGATTTGAACTGCAGTTTTTTCTCACCTTGGGATGATCTTTTAAAGCATGTGAGCAATTATGAAAATTAGCATTTTCCCAGGGCAATAAAATTTGCATTTCAGAGACTTGTGAATAAATATTTAAGAAAAAATATAAATGTGTTAGGTAAAGTTTAGTTTATGTTAATTTTTATGACTCCTCTGGATGGTAGGACAGCTGCATTGGCTGCATAATATTTTTTAGAGTTAGGAATATATAGCCATCTGTTCAGCTTGTAAAACGTGTTAATAGGTATCTCAAATTTCAAATTTAGAAATTACCATCATAGTAAATAATGCAGCATCAGGAAACTTGGGTTAACTAATGGAGACCTACCTGTAGTAATACTACATCTGTTTAAGTTAGTCATTACAGAAATAGTCAAGTATGAACTAGAATCATAGAATCATAGAATAGTTAGGGTTGGAAAGGACCTTAAGATCATCCAGTTCCAACTCCCATGCCATGGGCAGGGACACCTCACACTAAACCATGTCACCCAAGGCTCTGGCCAACCTGGCCTTGAACACTGCCAGGGATGGAGCATTCACAGCTTCCATGGGCAACCCATTCCAGTGCCTCACCACCCTAACAGGAAAGAACTTCCTCCTTATGCCCAATCTAAACTTCCCCTGTTTAAGTTTTAACCCATTACCCCTTGTCCTATCACTACAGTCCTTAATGAAGAGTCCCTCCCCAGCATCCCTATAGGCCCCCTTCAGATACTGGAAGGCTGCTATGAGGTCTCCAAGCAGCCTTCTCTTCTCCAGGCTGAACAGCCCCAACTTTCTCAGCCTGTCTTCACACGGGAGGTGCTCCAGTCCCCTGATCATCTTCGTGGCCCTCCTCTGGACTTGTTCCAACAGTTCCATGTCCCTTTTATGTTGAGGACACCAGAACTGTATACAGTACTCCAAGTGAGGTCTCACGAGAGCAGAATAGAGGGGCAGGATCACCTCCTTCAACCTGCTGGTCCTGCTCCTTTTGATGCAGCCCAGGATACAGTCGGCTTTCTGGGCTGCGAGCGCACACTGAAGCCGGCTCATGTTCATTTTCTCATCGACCAGCACCCCCAAGTCCTTCTCCACAGGGCTGCTCTGAATCTCTTCTCTGCCCAACCTGTAGCTGTGCCTGGGATTGCTCCAACCCAGGTGCAGGACCTTGCACTTGGCATGGTTAAACTTCACGAGGTTGGCATCAGCCCACCTCACAAGCGTGTCAAGGTCCCTCTGGATGGCATTCCTTCCCTCCAGCGTATCAACCAAACCACACAGCTTGGTGTCATCGGCAAGCTTGCTGAGGGCGCACTCAATCCCACTGTCCATGTCACCGACAAAGATGTTGAACAAGATCGGTCCCAACACCAATCCCTGAGGGACACCACTCGTTACTGGTCTCCAGCCGGACATTGAGCCATTGACCACAACTCTTTGCGTGCAGCCATCCAGCCAGGTCTTTATCCACTGAGTGGACCATCCATCAAATTGATGTCTCTCCAAATTAGCGACAAAGATGTCGTGTGGGACAGTGCCAAATGCTTTGCACAAGTCCAGGCAGATGACATCAACTGCTCTACCCCTGTCCATCAGGTCCGTAGCCCCACCATAGAAGGCCACCGAATTGGTCAGGCAGGATTTCCCCTTAGTGAAGCCATGCTGGCTGTCACCAAGCACCTTGTTGTTTTTCATGTGCCCTAGCATGCCTTCCAGTACTTGGCTTAAATGGGACTTTTAGCTAAAAAGCATTAGAAATCCATATTGGAAGTTTGGGACTGAGACTAAGAAAAAGACATAGCCAAAAGGTTTCCAGCTTTATGTTGACACTTAGATGCATTTTACAGAGATTACAGATCTTTACTAACAATATACCAATATACCTACCCAAGCTTCATAAATTTATTTTATGGACTTGGTCCACCAGAGATGACCCTAAGGATAACTTCAGACCTACCTGGATTTGAAGTTCAGATCAGAGAAAGAAAAAATCCCATGCAAAATGCCTAAGACCATAATTAAATTAATTTCAAATTGTGCAGCCCCCGTAGGACAATATCATACTTAAGTAGTCTCAATGCAGGTGATGGTTGGCTCTGAATTTAATCTGAAAAGTGAGTTATAGTCCCCTATATGTGCATGGGTATGTATGAAGCAAGACAAATTACAAAATAAAATTAAATTATGGTCTTTACCCCCCACTCCTTGCTCCAAAAGGCTCTTCTTGCTGCACAGTAGCAGGCAGTTTAAAGGGCTGTAGCTCTAGGTTTTTGGTTGCTAAGATCAAGAAAATGTCACTCTAAAACAGATGGTACTGCTGATGCAGAAGGTCATACACTTGGAAATTCATTTCAACAACAAAAAACTAAAGCAAGGGAATGGTAGCAATAGTCCATTATTATATTTGAACATTGAAAAGAGCGTAGAGGAAGCACAGCAAGAAAGGAAGGTCGGTTTATCCTTGGATTAATCATAGAAAATGCATTTGATTTCCTTCATAAGAACTAGAGGGAAACATAAGCCAACAAAAGAAATCATGGTCAGATCCTTGAACCTCTACAGATGAAGATTTTATCTGAGTGCAGGAACCACAGAGGACAGTGTCACCACAACTAATGGTCTTTATGCCATTTTCAACTAGAAGGATGCACTCCATTCCCCCACCAACTAGATGGATGCTGGAGGGGGCTAGGCACCCTAGTTGATGCTCTTCCTGGTTCAGCCTTAATTTTAGGACTGAGAAGCACTGAGATCAGTTGAATGTTCCTGTCCCATCTCCAGTCATCTTTCAGCTACAGCTCAGCAGACTGAATTCCAGTCCTTTGCACGGGGCAGATGTCATACCAGAGAAGTTACAAGAATATGACCCCATGATTTCATAAAGTACCTTCACAGGAACTAATTAGGGGGTAACTTCTTAACAGAGAAACCACCAAGTTATGAATGAACTGTCAGTTGCTGTGCCAAGTAACTTGCAGCAGCAATTACAGTCATAAACATTCTGGGTAAAAGCACACTTAATAGGACACTTTCATGGGCTGTGCAGTCTCTATCACAGGAACAATTTAG